ACGGCGTCTCCGCCCGCGCGCCGCACAGACGGGGCGGGCGTGGATCGAGGCAACGCTCCGGCGCGGCGCGGTGGGTGCGCGCTCGTGAGGTTGTTTGTGTTTGAAATTCAATTGCTCCCTCTTCTGCGCGGGGCCTCTTCCTCCACCCCCCGCCCGGTCCCACTCCTGCGCCCTCCTCCCAGCCCACTCCTCCTCCTCCTCCCTCCTCCCCCCTCCTCCTCCTCCGCCCCCTCCCGCGGCGGTTTGATGCGCGCAGCTGTTGGACGCCCAGAGCCTGCCACGGCCCGGCGCCCAACCTGGAGCCGCCTGGCGGCGCGCGGCGACACAGACCCGAAGAGTCGATCGCCGAGCTCACCGAGCGGGCTTTGTGTGCCCGCTGTCGGTGGGTGCCTGCCCGCCCGGGAGGAGTTGGCGCCGGGCTGGACGGAGCGGCCTCAGCTCCTCCCCCGCCGGCTCCGCGGGGCGCCCACCCTCGCGGCCGGGTGCCGCGCCTCCCCATGCTGTGCTTTATCCCAGTCCACAAATACTCGCCGGGCACCCGGGAATCCTGGAAGCTTACAAGATGCGGGGCGGGAGGAGGGGGGCCGGGGGGGGGTGGGGAATGAGCGTAACGCATGGACGCTTCACCCTCGCTCGAACCGAGGTCCTCTCTGGGCCTCAATGTGCTTATAGTCTGTGGTGTGACTGGAGACGCCCGAGATCTGAACCCCACGTTTGGAAGTGAAGCAGAAGCTTGAATTTGATAGGAAGGGTCCGAGGGGCTTTCGCACCAAGGGGCCACATTTTAAAGTGGGGTGCTTTTAGATCTCGGGTTTTTTTGTTTGTTTGGTCTTTTTGTGTGTGTGCGCGCGCGTGTGCGTGTGTGCTGCTGCCTAGAAAAACAGTTAGGCTTCCCCTAGTAAACCTCCTAAGGTTGGACTCGGTTCTAGTGGGAAAAGACCCGAAGGCCTTTAGATGGAGGACTCTGGCGTTACCTCTTGGGGGTTTGGAGCTGGGCAGAGTCAGGGAGGGCTTCACAAAGGTCAAGACCTTGATCTAGGGTCTAAAGAATGAGTAGGATGTTGCAAGGATTCAGGGTTACTGCATTTCGGCCTAGATCACGATAGAGCTAAAACTTTATTGTAATTCCATCTTTTATTTGCTGTCAGCGTATCCAAATTCTAGACATTTGGATCTTAGCATATCAAATCCTTAAAATTTTGCAATTAAACTAACTTTAACTAGGTAAAGGTATGCATTCCCCTAGACTGCAAATTTGGCCAATCCTGTTTCAAAGTATATGCAAATCTCTGTGGAAGGAAATGTGTCTTCTATCCAAAAGGTGCGTGTCCACATTCTACCCGTTGTTCACAAATGAGAACTTGTACAGCTCCCTGAACTTCTCTGAGCCTTGGTTTCCTCGCAATACCTGGGGCACCGAATGGCTGAGTTCTGCGTAACAGCCGTCCTTATGCCCATGGCAGTGCATTTCTAAAGCCTTGCCCATAAACTGGGGTCTCAGTATAGTTCTCCACTATAGGAATTCCTCTAGCCCTGGCCACAGAATACCAGGCCATTGACACACTGGGATATTCTGCAAGGTCCTGTTGCAATAAAGGAGCCATGTAGGCCCTCAGCCATAGACTTGCCGATTTATAGCAAAATCAGACTCTTGCAACAAAACAACTCGATTGTGGTTGGTGTTTACAGTGCATTCAGTACGAAGTGTAGTTGCGGTAATTGCATGCATTGTCAGACTAATGCTGTTCTGTGTTATTGTTAGGAGAGAACCTTGTCACAAGTCCTTAAAGAAGTTTCAAGAGCAAGTCAAGTGTCACAACAGACTTCCTTTTAGGGTCCAGGTCAGTATTGTAAATATGAACATTCCCCTGTATTTTTACACTTTTCCAATAGAGCACACCTTATTTAGTTAAATCTTAGGAGTTCTACCTATTTCTTCCCTTTGTTACAAGGCTGAGGATTGTAGCCCATTAGTAGAGAGCATTTGCCTACCACAAGAGGCCCTTGATTTGGTCCTCAGCACCACACAATAATAATAATAATTAAAACATAAATTCTTGTTAAAGCAAATCTCTTGGGCCTCTCATTCAGCCTACCATTCAGATGCCTGTTGCAGTAATACAACCAAGGTTTCCTTTGTTGCAATAATCTCTGAGGCCTTGGTTGCAATTTAATATCCAAGTTCTCCTTACATCATCAACCAACTCACAGCTGCCCCTAACAACCAAGCCAAGAGCCTCAGAGGGTCAGTTACACAGGTGGACAGAAGCCTGGTTCCCCTGGGATTCAAGTCTCCCTTTGTGCTTTGCAGACTTTAATGTGCAAACAAAACACCTGGGAATCTTACAATTCAGTAGGTTTGGGTTGGGGCGCCTTTTTTTTTTTTTGCTTTGCTTTTGTGTGTGAGTGTGTGTGTCTGTGTGTGATGGTACTGGTCTTGAACTCAGGTACTATAACATAGCTTTTTTACTCTCAAGGATGATACTGTACCACTTGAGCCACACCTCCCCTTCTGGCTTTTTGCTGGTTAATTGGAAATAAGAGTCTCTTAGATTTGCCTGGCTGTGCTTGCTTAAACCGGGATCCATCCTCAGATCTCAACTTTCTGAATAGCTAGAATTACAGGTATGAGCCCCTTTATCCAGCTCTGGTTTGTGTGCCTTTCTAACAAGTTCTAGGTATTGTGACTACCTCTGTGTCTACTGTTTAGAACTGCCAGTTGAGTAAGAAGGATGTAAAACACCAGTCACAGGCCCCCTACGCTACCAACCTTGTGTGAAACAAGTTCACAAATGTGTCCATTTTTTTTTTAACTGTATTTTTTTTGTCTTTTCTTTTTTGGTACTGGGGATTGAACCCAGGATGTTGCGCTTGCTAGGCAAGTGCTTTGCCACTGAGCTACATCCCAGCCCAAATGTGTCCATTTTTGACTGTAAAATAGGGTTGGCATAAAGATTAAGCTGATTTGCTTCAAGTACATCGAACAGACATAGGACCCTAAATAGTGCTGGATAAAAATTGATTTTCACTGCATTTATGATGTAATTATTATGTTAGATTCTTTTTTTTTTGCCTGGGCTGGCTTCCAACCATGATCCTCATATCTCAGCTTCCTGAGTAGCTAGGATTACAGGTTTGAGCCACTAGTACCCAGTTTATATTAAATTTTTTTGTGAGAAGTATGCTGGTACTAGGGCTTGAACTCAGGGCCTGGGCCCTGTCCCTGACCTTTTGTGCTCAAGGCTAGTGTCCTACCCTTTGTGCCACAGCACCCCTTCTGGCTTTTTGGTGGTTAATTGGAGAAAAGAGTTGTACGGACTTTATTGCTGGCTTTGAACTGCAATCCTTGGATCTCAGCCTCCTGAGTAATTAGGATTAGAGGCAATCGTCATAAGTACCTGGCTTATATTCGATTTTATTTTTTGCCAGTCCTGGGCCTTGAACTCAGGGTCTGGGCACTGTCCTTGAACTTCTTTTGCTCAAGGCTAGCACACTACCACTTGAGCCATAGCACCACTTCTGGCTTATTCTATTTATGTGGTACTGAAGAATTGAACTCAGAGCTTCCTGCACACTAGGCAAGCACTCAACCACTAAGCCAAGTACTCTACCTATATTAGATTTTTAAAAGTTTAAAATTTTA